TCCATAGATATCAACGGTTACATTCTGGTCTATTCAGTCACATCTAATAAAAGGTATACTTCCCCTTTAAAAAGGCAAACAAATATCTATTTAGTTACGTATAATGACTTGAACTGTGTACAATTCATGAAAGCTGAACATGAAACATTCCCCTTGTTTCTTACAGCTTTGAAGTTGTACAAGTAATCCATGAAAAACTATTGGACATGGTGGGAAAAGTTCAGTAAGTACTGCTTCTCATTATTATTTTGCTGTCCAAGGGATTCCAAGATGTATGTAATACATCATGCATAAATAACAATGTGCTGTTTACTTTTCCCACTAATGCAGAGTACCAATTATGCTCGTCGGAAACAAGAACGACCTACATATGGAGCGGTATGTCCTAACACACACTTAAATTTTACATTAGGTCCTCTATAGACAGTAGGTAGTAGGTATACACACGGGGCATAGCACTAGTCAGTTTTAGTCACCTCTCAGTAGACTCTTGGTGGCAGCAATGCGAAACACACTAACAGGAATACAGAGCAGATGGAAATATGTGGTTCACAGATTACCAAAAAGAAGGGGGAGGCCATTTGGACCTAGCAAGCGTAGTTATACTTCTGTGTGTGTTTGTGTAGCCCTGCAAATATACCTTATCAATGGAAGAATTTATAAGAGCAGAGAATTCTGAAGCCTTACTGTGAATTTTGAATGTGTTTTATCCCAACCGACTGTCCCTGTGTGTGTGTGTGTGTGTGTATTTGTTTTTTTTCCTTTAGAGTAATCAGTTGTGAAGAAGGAAAAGCATTAGCCGAATCCTGGAACGCTGCCTTCATGGAGTCCTCAGCTAAAGAGAACCAGGTGAGAGCCGGGGCTTTGGATTAAATTGTCACAGAAGTTTGTTGTGATTGGTCTCACAATGGGCTCAGTCTCATTTTAAGTTAGAAAGAAACTCTTCTGTGGCCCTGAAGGGAAATTTCCAAAAGATAATGACATCATCATGGTTATTTTTGTATTTCTTGGCATCTGGTCTTGGGCTTAGAGACTGTAAATTTGTAACAGACAACGTTTGGGGGCATGGAGTTTGAAAGACCCGGTGTTTACCAGACAAGGAGGGTCTAACAAAGGATACTATCAAGTTGCAGTATGGGAAGTTGTTGGATCCAGCAGTTTTGGAGCTTGACCAATGCTGGGGAGTATATTTGAGCATATGTTTTGACCATTCTTGTTTAAATCTGTCTGTTTCAAGTCCACAAAGTTTAAGGAGTTCTGTAATAAACCATTTTTGAATCTGTTTTATACTTTACTATAAAGTACCATTCATTGGTACTGGCGGAGTACGCCTTTACCACAATGTATAGTAATAGCATGCCCACATGTTTGTTAAAGAAAATGGTTTGTTTGGGTGCTCTGTAAATTTCTCTTCCTCTGGTCCGTATCTGACAGTTTTGCTACTGCTCAAGACAGTTTTACTGCCCCATTGGGGTATACATGTGTAATTTCAAGAGGAACTCTTCAAACTGTATTTGTATCTGTATTCAAACACACTTGAAATTACTACCAGGTTTGGCAAATTAACCAGGACTGAAATATTAGGGTCTAGGAATTTAGCAATGGCTCAAATGACTTTGTGTAATGTAAAAGGGGTCAACTGTAGTGACGAACCCACAGCCAACTATTAGCTGACTCTGTAGTTCCCCTCAGCTCTACAGAATGTTTTAGAGTCTTTCAGCTCATTGTTTTGATTTAACGACCCACAACTTCTGTTTTGGTTCACTCTCACAGCTCTCATCAGCATTGTTTCCAGCTGCAGCAGGCAGCTGTTTTCAGGGGAAAAAAGCTCTGAAAAAAACCCTGAAATGACTGCTCAGCACCAAAAATGCAGACAGACAAAGTTAGCGATTAGCTGGTGAGCACAGTGAAGCACTTAGCAGCTAAAGAGCCAGATTTACCTTATGAGCTGGTGAAGAGCAAACCACAGTTAAAAGAGGGTGAATGTTGGACTAGTGCTAATGTTGCTCCCTGTCTTTTGCATGTGTAAAATAAGCCACTGATTGCCAACAAGTTTGCTATTTCTACTCCAGGATAATATGTCAATGCTGTGTTTACAGCTTGTTGCACTGCCCCCAAGTGGCCAAAAACATTAATTCATGCAGGTTTAACAATGGTTCAGAAGTTTATCCAACACAGTCTCCGAAGAGCATGTTTTATTCACTATTCTTTAGATTTTCTTCATTTGCGTTGAGGGAGAGGCTAAAGCTGAGGCCAACATGAGCTAAAAGTAAACAACACAAGCAACAGAAATCAGTTCTTGAAAACTGATTTCCATTTTCTAGTGAACGTATTTCCCAACATATTCACAAAGTCTGTTTATTGCCTTTAAATCAAGTTAGCAAACAATATTTCCTGACCATCTTTAAATGCACATAAAAACAATGCCATCTGTGTTGTGCCTAAAGTCAGTGAGGCTCCACTGGATGTAATGTGTGCTGCTGGAAAATTAAAAGTGGTGTGACTGAGACATGTGACATCCTCTGTGTGTGTGTGTGTGTGTGTGTGTGTGTGTCTCGTTCTCTCCCTCAGACTGCCGTGGAGGTTTTCCGAAGGATGATCCTGGAGGCAGAGAAGATGGACGGTGGCGTGCAGCCAGGAAAATCATCCTGCTCCATGATGTAGAGCCGCCCAATCAACACACAGGACACTGCACTGGGATATCCCGTTACTTGAAGGCTAGCTGCCAGTTCTCCTTCACCTCAGCTGACTCCACCCCTCCAGGGTCCTAAATATCCAATACTATTTATGGCTCTGATTCCACTGTTATTTATCCAACCCTTTATATACCCTTTTGTCATCCTAGTTTTTCTTTGTGTGTTTGATAAAAAAGATGAGTGGTGGTTCCCTTGTCTTATATTTTCCACAATCCACCTCTCCTCCATCTCTGTGCTCGGCACTAGGGTTGGGCGATATGGGTATATAATGTGATGGTAGAAATGTGTCCACCGGACTGAGATTTGACAATACCATTTCCACCACGGGAGCTGTCCCTTAGTGTCTCTGCTATATATTTGGGGCAGGCTATGTAGCAAATCTCGTGATTTCACGATTCTTGCATGATCTTGTGAACCTTGCAGATCCAGCTGCCAAGGTAACATAATTTCAAGATCAAGATAACTTTATTGTCATTCAGACTATAGACAAAAGAGCACAGTAGAATGAAGTTACGTTGCATCTGGCCCACACACGTACTTGAAAAACACTATAAGAACTGACAAAGTTCTTGGGCAGCGGGACTGCTTACCACGTTCTCAGCAACAGTTGGTGGCGGTAATGCACCTCTAAGCTGGTTTGACATCTGCCACAGAAGAAGAGAGCGTTGAGAAAACGTGGAGGAGGAGATTGAAATTGTAAATACGGAGCAGAAGGAGTTTTTATTTGCATGGAAGTTCCAAATAAAAGACCAAAATAATCTAATGTGATGAAGTACAGTATGGTATGGTTATTTTAAACCATTTCTTCAGTGAATTAACAGAACAATTATTGTATTGTGATATATACCGTTACCGTGATATAAAATTACATATACCGTGATGGATGATTTTGGCCATATCGCCCACCCCTACTCTACACTGATGCAAAACACACAGAACATCATTTGGGTGTATCAGAAAAAATGTTTTCCTCTGCTCGGTAATGACGACAACCATAAAAAAGGCTGGAGATAGTAGTGGCTTGATGCATCTTAGCTTTTCATTATGCAGCTCCCATGTAGGCTACGAGCCCGTCTCTGTTTAAATAACAAGAGATAAGAGAAATGTCATGTCTGCCATGCATAATGCTCTGAAAATGGATAAGTAAACACGGACATTTCTTCTGATACATCGCCGGCTGTTTGGTCTCTCCAATATACAGCTCTTTTTCTACTTCATCTCCACGCAGTACCCACATCTCTGTCCCTCAGTTTGTTTTCATAGCAGTTACTGTCAGCCAAAAGATCTGCATCCATTTTCTAATGTTGAAAATGTACAAATGTTTTTGATTGTAATCATTAAAGCAAAAAGTGGTTATGTAAAGCAGGAGTGAATCTTGATTATTACCTTGTGCTGATGATTGAGGTTTTATAATCACCTGGGAGGGAGGCAACTTTATTTATGTAGCACCATTCAAATGTAGTTCAGGTTGCTTTACACAAGGCATAAAAAGTCAGTAACACGTTCAGTAGAACAACTTTAAAAGGGTAAAATAAATTGAGGAGGCTGCAGGATGAAAGTGGAGGGTGGATAATATGTTTTTGCGATTCAGTACAAAGCAATGGAAGCTTGTAGTTCCACGGTTGTGTTGCATAATAACTAAATGCTTCTTGTTTTTGAGCATGACCTGAGAGGCCGAGAGGGTTAAATTAGTAATAGACCATCAGAGATGTATTTTAAAGGTCCTGGAATTTCTTTCACTGAGCTTTTTACTGTTGTGAGTGATGGGATCATACACCTCTGTGCTCTTCTGGCTGGTTTAAAGTGGCTCAGTTAGAAAAAAGTGATGTCACACACTTCAGCTTTTGCAATACTAAAATCTGAATCTGGTGACAGTGGTTGTTTGCTCACGGTCATTCAAATCTGATCAAGCCACACCTGCACAGTCCTGATGAGTGTGGTTTTTGATCTCTTGATAGATCTTGATTATTGCTTATTTATCCATGAATATTTCATGTTATAGAGAAATAAAGTCAGAAGTCAGTGCCCAGTCCTGAGAACTTGTCTTCGTCTTTGATAGATGTCTAACAGTAGCGGCATTGTTCTGAATGAGCTGAAGCTGTCTGAGAACCTTTTTCTGGACGCTTGAGGAAAGGCCTTTACAATAACCCAACCTACTGAAAATGAAAGCATGGATAAGATTCTCTAACTCTTGTCTGAACATTAACCTAATCATTCATATTTTTCCGGATGATAGTAGGCAGACTTTCTTTTTGACTTGATGTAGCTGTCAAAAAGATTTCCAGACACAAGAATGAGAACAGCTCTTGTTCTAACTTTTTTATTTGTTCAGAGAAATGACTTATTTTGTTTGTCCTAAAGAAGTAGCCACTTAGAATACATGCAGGAGTCATTGGTTTTTAGTGCCTTGCTCAAACATACTCCAAGATACAGTCATTTTCTTTGGTTTTTACATTGAACTTTATAAGGTGTTGCACATGTCGTCGCCACAGCACTTTATATCGATGTAGGCATTCAGCTTCAGCATGGTGCAGTCTGACAGAGCCATGCATTTCTGGTATTGGCCATCTAAGAAAGTAAAAAAAAAGGGAAATGGTTGGATTTTAACAAACAAAGTGACATTTTATTATGTATGATTCACCTCCAATGTATTTTCATACAGTATATTTACATCATTCACAAACATTTGGAGAACAGTTTCACTTATTTGACTTGCAGTTGACTTTCTAACCCATGCTGCCTTGCCTGATACAGTTTAGCCACAAGAGGGCTTAACGAAAATCCTCTCTTTATGCTGATGAACATTTAACAATTCATTTACATAACCAATGATGCCCCTAGTCCTCTAAGTTTGGTGCCATTGTATGCATGCAAATGGTTTCAGGAGTCCATGTATTTGTTTATAATAAAACAGTTGGAGTATGTTGAGAAACTCACATGGTGCTCTGAGGAACTTGGCAGCAGCACAGCCATCCTTCCCTGGTTTACAGGTTTCTACAGAAAGCTCACAGGTTTCTCCAGCGTGTCTTGGGACACACCGGTGGCAGTTCAGGGCTTCACCTTAAAACAAAGCACAGCAAAGAAAATTCATTCAGTCATTGTTTTTCTTTCTCTGTGGCCTTAGTGGATCTGATTCTGTCATAATGTGTCAATGTGTTTTCTGTGGGAATCTCTCCTGGGACAATGAGTATTTGCAAGTTATAAGTAAGGTTTGATTTAGTCTACTTAAATGTTTTTGTGAAGCCACAGGATGGCACCGTGCTCTGGCCATCACAGGTAAGTCAAATGCATTTTACCTAATTACGTTTACGTCCTAGCTATGACGCCTACAAGCTGTTGCAGAATGAAAATAATGCCTTTGAGTTTCTGACAGGTCTGCTGAGACTGTGCTCCTCTACAGTACAGGCTCAAAGAGATACCATATGTCCCTGTTGCACAGCAGCAGAGGTTGTGTTTATTCAGTGGAAAATCAGTGACAGACTGACCAGCTGTAAACAGCAGGGTGACGGTTAAAGCCAAGACCAACAACTTCATTGTTCTGTTCAATGCTGCAGCCTGTGGGAGACGAAGCACAGATTTGATAATACAGGTGTATTAGCATGCGTGCACACTCATGGACAGTGGCAACTATATGGCAAAAAGATTTACACTGATAGCTATTCAACAAATTTCAAAAAGAATTGAAGGCTAGATATGGTAAAGAAAATAAGATAACTCAAATAAGAGAAGAAAAGAAAATGATGAGTATATTATAAATGAATGAATGTTTTCGGTGTACATACCTTGCTGATTTGTCTGTCTTGGTTTCTGCCAATGACTGAGATGTATTCATCGACTTTCCTCTTTTTTATACCCGTTCGTACTTTGGTCTGCCGTGGTAACGTCCCATTAAGTGGTGTATCAGTGTTATGTCTATTTGCTTAGCACCTTACTCACCCTGGGTGCAATGTGTTCAGGGGTTACAGTTTCCCAATGCATTATGCAAGAGCTTTCCACCCTTTGTCCACTAATGAATATAATTTATGACATCGTGTGCATTTCTTGCAGACTCAATACAAGCTTTATGTTGGCTGGATGTGTACCTTAAGAGTACAAGAGGATATTAGTCAATGGTACAGTGTGTTTGCTTTAGGTGGATTATGTTAAACTGTATGATTTATAATAGCCTACTTTGGGCCTCGTGCTCTTTGTCCAAGTCAGCACCAGACATGAATTGACTCAATTCAAAGCATACAGTAGGGAATTGACTTGAACTAGCATTTAATATAAAACTAATGAAAAAGAATAAAAGACTGGCATACACTTGAAGTAAATGCACTTGAGATGTGTGGCTTTGAATCCCTGCTTTAGTGTGAATCTCTGAAAATCCACTTGATTTCAATAAATCCTTTCAACTTGTGTGTTTTATCAATGCTACTGTAGATGGAGAGAGAGGGGGTTGAAGTATCCTGCATACAGGATGAAGTCATACAGTTAGTGAAAAACAGGTTTTGTTGTATCATGCTCCAACTGCCAATTCTTTGATGCTGCGACTGAGAGTCTCCACCCAAATTTTCATGGGTAAATAGATCCAGGGATCCTCTCGGGATCAGCAGCAAAGAAACAACAACAGAGATGGATCTGAAAAGAACAGCTGGGCAGAAATCTGCTTTGGAGTGTGACTCTCTGCTCATACTGCTGCCATCAAAACTCAGACGTGGTTAAGTAGCTTGAAAACGGACTGAGACCTCACCTCGTTGTTTCAACATTTACTCCCCAGCCTGACAGATATCTTGTTTCCACTGGGTCATTTGTTTTTTTCATTCCTTTCACCTCTGCTTTAAGTTTCCCTCTCAGTTTGTTTTCTTCCTCGTCTGGACACACCCAAATATTACCCTACAGCCTCGACAGTGCAACATCACTCCCAAAGCCCAATCAAAGCAAAATCTCTCTCCATTGTTTGGCCCCCCAGAGCCAAATTCCAATATCAGCACTGACACATGTAAGGGAAACTGTCCATGTGGCAAAATGTCTAAACCCCCCATTGTTTTGCTTTTGTTGCTTTGGCCTCGCGATACCACCGTGCTCACTGTCAGCCATATATATCTGGGTGTCCAAATTTTTCCACTCTTACACTGTGTGACTAGTTTGGAACAGCTTACAGTGGAAAAATGTCTCAGTACTCAGGAAAGGTGAGTACTATAACAAGGGAGTGTGATGCAGCCACAGTAGTTCCCAACAATGAATGTGTGTCATAAACAAATGTCAATCACAAAGGAATTAATGTAGATGACTGGTCCAACCTCAGATTGTACAGTGTTGAATGGCTCTTAGCTTGATATCTTTCTGACTATCTAACACCGTAGATAGTTCTTTTTATGCAGCATTTTACATACAACTATCTGTTAAGAGAGAGATTTTTCAATGTTCACTGTTGTGGCAAAAACCAGATCGTGTTCTATGAGGGGAAATGTTTCACTGGGAGGAAGCTGGAGATCTGCAGCGACTGTGACAACTTCCAGGACCGCGGCTTCATGAACAGGGTCAACTCTGTCCGTGTGGAGAGCGGGGCCTTCATCTGCTTTGACCATCCAGACTTCAAGGGCCAACAGTACATTCTGGAGCATGGGGAGTACCCTGAATTCCAGCGCTGGAATGCCCATAACGATCACATGGGCTCCTGCAGGCCAGTCAGGATGGTAAGTGTGTATGTGTGTGTGTGAGAAAGACCCCAGGGACAGACTAACACTTGGTTGTTAAAAAGCCTGGCAGACTGGCATATGCGCCGCCTCATTTTTGCACATCTGTTTTTCAGATGAATCAAAGTCAGAATAATTTTAATAACTGGGGTTTACAATAATTTGTTTAAAAATGAAAGGCATTAGTCTTGCAGCACAGAGGCATATTATCAACTTTTCACATCACTTGACACCATTAGCTGAAAGAAAATCGCACATTTGGTGCACTGGAGAGATAGACTGTGGGCTGTACATACCATCCTCCGCACACAATTAACCTTTAGATTTCTATAGGTGTGTTTGTATGAGTGTTTGCGTGCACAATACGGTCTCTGTCATATAGAGGCCATGGTCCTTTTCAGTGAGGTGAAGGCGAACATTGTTGCCATGACTCAGCGAAAGGGTATGTCATTATCCTCCCCAGCATGGAGAGCACTACAGGATGGAGCTCTTCGAGGGAGACAACTTTAGCGGCCAGTGTGTGGAGGTGTGCGACGACTGTCCGTTCCTGCAAGCACGAGGCCTGACCAAGAACTGCATTAACTCCATCAAGGTTTATGGAGATGGAGCGTATGTATCTCAGTAGTGAGGGATTGTTGGTGTTAGCCTGCTTACAGCGCATAAGCCTTTTTAACATTGAAGTGAAACTGATAAGTTATGCGTGATCCTGTCTATAATTTCAAGATTTTTAAAAAAGATTTCTTTATATTATTTGGAAGTTTAGCCAATTTTATTGACAGCAAATATGGAGGGGGCAAGAAAAAAAGTTAAATTACTCACTTTGTTGTTTTCGTCAAGGACTTTACATAGATATCCATTTGTAATATATTGGCAATCCTTGCAATACGATGGAGATGAGTAATGTAATGATAATTTGGTTTGTCACAGAATTTGATAATAAGCAGTGTCCTTACTTTGTTACTCTGGGTAAGCACCTAAACACACTGTCAACAGTTTTAATACGAACTATTTCCTTTGTAGAGAATAGTTGCAGTGGACATTGTTTACAGAGAGGTCTGTGAATTATCCAGAGTCACTGGGAAACAGATTCTGTAGAATTTAGTAAATGAAATTTTTCAATACTTTTGTTGGAGTGGCATGTGAAATCTCAGAGGGTTGTTTATAAAAGAATTGACCATGAAATGATATGTCACTGGGTTCAAGTCTGACGGAGGGCCTTTGTTGTGTACTTTTTTTCTCTATTATCTCTCTTCTCATTTTCTGTACACTTTATTGAGGATATAAAATGCCCCATAAACATAAAAAAAGAAAGTATTTATTTAACAAAATCCTAGAGAGATGAAAAATTCAGAACCTAGTAACTTAACTACATAGCTGGATATCACAATAGGTAAGTAAGAAAATCTATTATATTATACTTTGAGTGACCCTTCAAACACTAAACAATAATTTGGCACACTATATAAACCAAGTCAGACAGACTATTGGCAGAAATATGTCATAAACTCTACCTTCTATACCCTTACACTAGATATTGCATACGTGCAATTTCAAATAAATATTTATGTTGTCTATCTATTTTTCCTAAACAGCTGGGTGTTGTATGAGGAGCCTAACTACCGTGGCCGCATGTACATTGTGGAGAGAAGAAACTACTGCACCTTTATGGAGTGGCAGGCAGAGAACCCCAACATCCAGTCTGTTCGCAGGGTGGCAAACTACTTCTAAAGCATCTCATTGTCACTGGCAATATGACTGCAGGAATGAGATCATCCAGTGAGGAAAAACATACCACACCGTCAAGTAATGTCACGCTGACTCTGTGGGGCTGTAAAATAATAAAAGATGAAGAAAATGTTTCACATTGCTTGTTGTTTTATTTTTGTACTGAATTATTCAAAGGCTGAAATAAAGTAGTGATCCTACAATAACCTCAATCTTATTTCCATTTCTTCTGCTTTTATGCTCACGCAGTGTGAAACTCCTAAATTAACCAACACTGTTGAAATGGCTACAAGCTATGATTCATGTAATTGCTTTCTATTATATGCCACAACTAAAAGACCTTTATGTGTTCCTCATACTAATGGATCCACTACCAAGCTACATGAGACACTCTGGATACCACTGAACACCGATTGATATATAGACAGACGGGCATTTTATTTATCCAGTAGGGAAATTAAACTTGGTTCAATAGTTTAAATAAACTTGCAGCACTGCTAAAGAAAATCTTTATTTAAAAAGAAAAAGAAAAGAAAAGAAAGCAGGGATCCAGCTTTTTAGCAAACACATTCTACTGTGAACAATAAAAACTGTGTGCCCTAACTACATATCCAGTGAATAAATCAAAAGTGAAAGAGAGATTGCACAGATTGAAGCAGGATCTGCACCTGCCCCGGGGAGCTCTGCTACCACCTAGTGTCATTTATCTATTTTACTGTGAAGTCCTGATGCTCACCTGGGGGTTTTCTAAGTGATCACAATAGAGACAACAGCAATGACACAAACACATAAAAAAATATCTGGATTTTTAAAATCCTTCCTTGAATGAAGAACAAAACCAAAGAACAGAAACACTAATTATGAATTATGTATTAATGAATATTTTCAATTCAACTTAATTTAGTTAGTCCAATGAGATTATATGCAGTTTTCCATCATATTATGCGCACAGCATTGTATTTATGACATGTACAATGCAGTATAAGTAGTGACAGACTGGCAAAAGTTATATTTAAAAGCCATTTACAAGACTGTTAGCTCATAGTTTCATGTTTTTTATTGCGCCTCTGCATCATTTCTCCACATGCTCTTATTCTTCTAGTAAAGTCGCACCGAGGTTGTGGCTCCTGGACCTTTAATGAGCATTCATGTGCTTTCTCTCCTAACTGTCATGACAACAGATCACCTATCTTTACAAAGCTTTGCTCATGGCCTCTATCGAGTTACAGGGTCAATATAGGATAGCTTAATGAGGAAATGCGTTGTCTTGAGTTACACTCAAGAGCACTAGTTTAAGGGCAATTACCTATAGCTAACCTTATTCCTAAGCCATTTGTTGCTTGAATTGGCTGGGTGTCACCAACATGCCATTAGTCTGGATGTCAAAGATGAGAAAGAGAGAGGGACCTGTGAGCAAGGCTTAATGGCATTTTAACAATGTCATTGCTGATTTTCTATGATGATGAGATTTATTATACACAAAGGACTTCGGTTTTGAAAAGAAACTTGAATGCTACAAAGTGCATTTAAGACAAGATGTCTGCAGTTTATTATTCTTATAGACCTCTATTATATTTTATAAATAATCCTTGATGACTAGCTCTAATGGAGGTACGCAGGTCTTCTTAAGTCGGGAGATTACAAAAGAGAAACAATCAATTAGTCAGAGGAAAATGACTTTAACTTTAACTCTTTTGAGGGAAATATTTCTAAAAGTGACTGTCTGTTGGCTGGGAGACTTGATGAGTGGGTAGGCTGACCAGTCCTTTGACACAAACACTTTTTTTAATGTCACAGATCATTTTTAGAGTATCAACAGACATAATACAAGACAATAATATGTTTAAATATATTAAATTCATAATATGTTTGGAAATTGGGGAAGAGTACTGTCATACACTTCCTCTTTTGTGATAATAATAATAATAAAAAAACTGCTTAGTGTTATGAGCCATAGTTTGGCTCTATTTTGGTTTTGCTGTGTGAGTTATATTTTATATTTAACACTGTCTGGCGGTGAAATGATTAATTGGAACGAATACATTTTAAATAGCCAAGCGTTTATTGTATCCTATTACTCCAAATTAGGTCAACTATTTTTAGCACTGCCACTAATGCATAAAAGATCATTCAGATGGAAACTCTCCGGGAATTTATTTTATTTGTGAAGCTATAAGCTATACTAATTATCACGGACAAAATTATATAACTTAGGTCTAAATATTGCACGAGCTAATACATTTGGTATTTGTAAGGTATACTCTAAATAAAATGAAAATGTATAGGCCTACTGTTATTTTTTTTGAAAGAAACAAAAAAATATTGCACTATTCTCTACGTGAAACCAGTAAAATCACTATGCATTACCTGGAAATCTCATTTAATCCCCGGGATATGATAAGAACCGAAAAGAAGACCATAAAATACCGATTCTGACCACAGAAAGTGCAAGTGTTGTATCAGCTGGAATCGGGACAAATTCCAGCGTGGAAATCACACATCTTTCACCAGCACCTCACATTCCTTCTGTCAGGATTTTTTAAAGGATTTAAAAAAAAACAACGTGATAATTATCGATACGAGACAACAAAAATAAAAACATAAAGTCATTTCAGGCGTGTATGCGGTGTCGTGTTAAGGTCACTCGCTGGCTGCCTGAATTCCCCTCTTTGTGTTTACACATCCGGGTTTCCCTGTTTGCAGCCCATTCCCCATTTAGAAGCCATTTTGGACACAGATCAGTAACATGCATGTAAACCCCGACCGACCTCCCGAGGAAGCGGTGCTACTATTCAAGTGAATAACCTCACAAAACAGTGCTGGGTTTTCGTCTCGGACGGTTTAACAGCTTCCCATTTGGCTTTTGGACCCACTTCCGACGCGAAATGCCGCACCTATTAACGGACTAACAGACGGGAAGTCAATTAATCGCTCCTATTTTTTTTTTCTTGCAACATTGTTGCAGCGCCGCGGCTATTGACACGCGCTGTGGTGGTGGTGGTGGTTAGGCTACCGAGGGACCGGAGGCCTGTGGTCGTTTTTGATCCCGGACTGATGTTTTGGACAGCCTGAGTTTTAATGTTCGTGGCGGAAAGTGGGGGAAATCGCTGCCCTGTATTTAAAACGGAACATGTCTTTTTCGTGGCTGACTTGTTCACTTCTTCTGGGAACTTTATGCGCAGGTAAGCCGCTATTGTCGGTTCCGAATTTGCAACAGTTTTCCCCACCCCCCGTTCCCGAGCTGTTCGTCCCGAGGCAGACACATTTTTTTTTGTTGTTGCTGGCGAAATTGTCCGCGATTGACACGAGTTTCCGTCTGTTGGTTGATTAAACTTTGTTGGCGGTGGATATTTAGCCTACTATCGTTCAGCCGCGGGGATTATATTATTTTACCCATAATCGCCTTGTTTCTGTTTGCCTCTCTAACACGGTCTGTTTACACACGGGAATTGTTTAAGCAACAGCCGAGACTTTTTGTATGTGCAATAAATATACACACGACATTGCATAGAGACGTTTAAGCAGGGAAATTACAACAAAATGTATCCACATTTGAAACTGTTGCGTACCCCCTCGTCTTTTCTCAACAGTGGCAGGAATAGAAGGCAGCAGCTGCATCAACATCCTGAAACCTTATAGGCTACATCTCAGGTCCCCACTCTTGTTTGTGGTTCCAGCCTGAACAAGATCCTGTGGAAACATACTTTCTCAGTGAGGGGATTTTCATAAATCAATGGCGTTTGATTTGAAGAGACAGCAGCTGATTGTCAGGTCTTCAATCTGAACTGCCGTTACAGTTCGACGGCTCGGTTTTTCCACAGCCTGTTACTTGGTACCACGTGAAATTGAGCATGAGGGTTGTTTATCTTTTGTTTGGCTTTGTTTTTTCTTTTGCCAGCGTTTGCAACTCGTATGGGAGATTTTTATTGTACACTGTTAACCTTTATCCCAACGCTGGGCACTCCCCGTTGTGACTTAATTTAAAAACATCATCAACCTTTCCCTCCTCACGTTTTTAGCTTTTCCTCGAACTGTAATAAAAATTTAATTCAGGCGCTGCTGCCTCTTGTGTGCCCAGTCGCGCTATGGCTAATGCCTTTATGGTTTATAGATTAAGAGGAGTGTATAAGCTGCTTCTCCAGAATTCATGTTGTTGTGGTGTAAGCCCCAGTAAGTGACAGAGGGCGGGGGGTTGGGGAATGATCTTGTAGTAAAAGTCCTCCCGGATCATGTGACCACAGATATCAGAAATGCCATCTCTGCTCAATGGAGCATTGAGCATCACTGCTTTGGTGTGTGTGTGTGTGTGTGTGTGTGTGTGTGTGTGTGGCATTTTTGCCCCTACCACCTTCCTTCCATCCTTAATAATGAGCATGAGTTGATATTCATTGCATGCATCCCTATATGCTGTGATGAAATCCATTGTATGCTGCTGGACAACTAAATGTATGTATATTTAAGTGGGTGCATGCCTGCAAGAGAGTGTGTGTGTGCCTGCTTGTGTGTGTGTAATGGGTTGGTGGGGGTAGCACTGGGGGATGGGCAGCCTCCTATAGGCAGGGATTTAAAGAGACATGCACTATTTTTTTCTGTGAACAAAGATAAGGCATTAATGTCCAACTGATATTGTGACTGAAATGTAAGGCATGTTATCTGTCTCAGTATTCCTCAAACCATGTCTTACATTTGTAGCTTGCGTGTGTCCAACAGTAAATCCACAAAGAGTAATAATGAAACCTTTTCCAGTTAGGAATTGTGCAATAGTTAGAGACTGACAGCTATTGTTACATTTCAGCTGGGAGCTTGGTTAGGGGACACTCTTTGCTGCTAAATGACAGTTTTGGCCCTTTAAAGAACAAGGTCTTATCTGTGTTTCTAGATGTGTCATACTCCAGCAGGATACAAGAGTCCTTATCTATAGAAGTAGCGTGTCGGTGTGTTTCTATTCCACAGTAGGGCATGCCATTGTTTTTCTATAGCTAATTAAATTCTGCCATTTCTCTTCCTTTTTTAGTCATCGGTCTTTGAAAAGATATTTTAGTGAATGGGATTATGCTGAACTACTATTCAGCAACAATGTCTTAGCCCAGAGGAACTCCCTTTTTTACTACAGAGAGCTCCCAAACTTGGCCATGTGCCAGAGTGATGGTAGAGGCTCTGCTCAGAGATGTTTCTTCGTGGCACAGAGCGGATCCTGTGCCATATGTCTGTGCTTCTGCCGTTGAGTTTCAATTCATTATGATGTGATCTG